TTGCATGGCCGGCAGTGGGATTCAGGCGAGGGATGTCGTGACAGAGGGAGTGTGTGCATGGGTTACACGTGTGGCTGAGGAGAGGCTGAGAGTGGACAAGGGGCAGGTTCTGGGGAGAGAGAAAATATGAGGTGGGGGAACCTTGGCTGCACGCGTGGCAGGCCCTTTTATTTGACATGTGTCATCGCTGGACCTGGACCTGGACTTGGGCTTTGATTAATGGATAAACGGCCCAAAATTAATGACTCAGATTAGACCTAATTAACTCAAAAATTAATACTGAAAAACTATATTAAACTATAAAACGAAAATTAACACCTAAAACCTAATTAAAGTCTATTAAACCCTAATTAACCCTAAAATGAAAATTAAAAGTAAAATCTAACAAAATAAAACCTAATTAATCAAAAAAAGAAATTAATATCTAAAAATCTAATTAATTCTGAAAAAACAAATAAACTCTAGAAAAACATTTTCTCTGTTATTATCTTTTTTATTCTATTAATTCTTTTTTTTAACACAATAAAACTCTAATCTAAAAAAAAACACTATCTATTGTTATTATTATTATTATTATTTTGTCTACTCTTTTAAAAGAAAACTATCTATTTATCTATTAAAACTAATAAAAGAAATTATCTAAAATTTGTTAAAAACTATAATATCTAAAAAATCTATTAATTTCTAAAAAATGAAAAGAAAATTTATTTAAACTCTAAAAAATATTTAAAAACTCTATAAAATCCAGAAAAAACCATTAAATGCACTAAAAATCCAGAAAAATGACAGAAAAATCCTAAAAATGCCAGGAGGCCGATTAAACCGAATAAAACCCAATGGCGCAACCGTAGCGAAACCCGGGCACCGAGATGGCCTGAAAACACAGGAGACGAGCACCAATTCTCAACAGACTTTTATTCCAACCGGCCTGAACTGCCTGAAATGCCAGGGGCTATAATCCCGATAAAACCCAATCTGAATGATAAAAATGCAATGCATGCCGTATGCGAATGCGAATGCAAAATGCGTCGAAGCATAAACCAGATATGGGGACCGGTTGATCAAATTTTAGGGTGCAACATGGTGCATCTTGGTTTTGTGGTAGAGGTTGAGGTTGAGGTCATGGTCATTAGTCAGGCATCATTGTGGACCTAGTTTTTCTTATGCATGCATTTATGTTTTCATGTATTTTTGTTTATTGTGCTATTACGTTGCAACCTTTTATGACAAATGTTAATAGATATTATCTCTTTTTATTATACTTGGCTGTGTATTACTGATTAAACTTTGTTTTCAATTAGATGTATTTCTATGTGAGTGCACATTTTAATTGATTTGTTTAATCTTTGCAACGCCTCTGAGTGAGTTATATGTTATTGTGCATTTTTCATGTTACTTATCACACTTTCCATCTTTGTCTCTTTTTGATGTTCAGGGAGAAGTACAAGGTTTTATGAGGTTTTATGGTACGCATATTCAGGGGAAGCTTTGCCAAAGACACCAAGTTCTTAGTATGTTTTGCCATCATAAAAAAGGGGGAGTATGTGAGTGCATTATACTCTTAGATATATTTTGATTGATGTCAAAACTAGGTAGTTTAGCTTTTTGTGTGTATTGGACCTTACCATCCATGTCTAGATGTGCATCATTATAATTGGATATGTAAAATTAGATTAAATAGATAATCACATGCAAAAAAAATTGAATTTTCATGAAACATTTGTCAATGTGTCGATACATTTTTGGTATGTATCAATACATACTGAGTAGTTTTTAAAAGGGGAAATTTTTGTTCTTAATGTATCAATACACAACGCTTATGGCTCGATACATCATGCAAATGTGTTTACTCATTTATGTTTGGAATTGATTCCATCTGTAAGCCATTTTCAAACAAACTTCCATGCCTTCAATGTATCGATACATTGATGGTGTGGATCGATACATTCAGCTGATGAGTCGACTCCCCCGTGTTTGGAGTCGACTCCTTCTGAAGATTTTTTTCAAACAAATATTCCATGTCCTTAATGTATAGAATCCTTTATGCTATGTATCGACTCATTTGGATTGTATATTGACTCATTCATATTTAGAGTCAATACATTCTGTTCTAATTTTAAAAAACTTGCACTTTTGGCTAAAAGTCTGTTTTGCTTGTTATTTCTCTAGACACACACATGCATATAAATATGCATTCATACATCTTTTCCCAACAATTGAAATCAAGAACACACATAGAAATTTATCATCATCTTCAACCTTTCTTTGCATGCATTCAAAAACTACGCATAATCAATTTTGTTGTGTCATCTATATTAGATTGATAAGGTCCAATTTAGGTTAGTGTAATCAAATTATGTTGAGTTTTTCTTTGGGAGTTTCATTAATAAAACCTTTGGGGGTTTTTTATACAAGTCTTTTCAACTTGGATTCAACCAAGCGAAAGCTTTCAAGAACGAGGATTCTTGCAAAGGAGTAGCGGTAACCGAAGGATCAATTGAAAGACTTGGGGCAAGATTTCACAATTTAGATTCAGCCGAGTGAAAGTTTTGAAGAAGGGAGGTTCGATCAATTGAGTAGCGGTAATCGGAAGATCAAATTGGAAGTCTTGTGTAACTTGATCTAGCTAAGATCAAGAGACGGGAAAAAGTTAGGATCAACATCTAACATAGGGTTTGGGGGTTTAAATTGCTATTACTTCTCTTGTAAACTACTATTGATAAAGTTAATTACACTATCTTAATTCTATTTTGAATTGAAGACAAACGTACCCACAATAAAGATAATTAGGGAACTGCCTAAACAAAGTTTGGTTCTCTATATGTGTGTATGTGTGTAAATATATATATATATATATATATATATATATATATATATATATATATATATATATATATATATATATATATATATATATATATATATATATTGATAACACTTCGTGAGTAATATTGAAGTATCTTAAACTGTTTTTGTGAAACCATTACAATCTAAAGAATTGCAATTAATTTATCATACCTTCAACACAAAAAGAATTAAGCTTGGTGTGTTGCACACCAAGTGTTCGATAAATTGATTGCGCACTAAGTGTTCGATAAAATTCTTGAGTAAAGTTTATTTTTAACATTTTATTGGAAATTTTTTATCATTATGTGGTTTATATTCAAACATTATATAGAACTTATTGGTTTGCTTTTCTCATTTTTAGCATACGTTTTACTATGATTTATATGCATATTTGATTTTATCAATAACGGTTCGGATAGACGAGAGTCGGTCTGGATTCGCTTCTGCTTGCCATAGAAAAATAATTTTCAAAACAAAATTTTTAATAAGAAATTTTTTACTTGGCGATCTATTCAAATCCCCCCCCTATTCTAGATCATTGCCCTGGTCTAACCGTTACAAGTTTTGTGTAATCGGTTGCAACTGTTTGAAAATGTAAAAAACAACTTTGTAACATCATAATTTCTTTCCAAATAATTTCAAAACATGTATGGATGATTAGACATGAAAAATGAAATTTGTTCTGAGTCATTAAGATATATAATATGAATTGTAATGCATACTTTAACCATCTTGATTCTTTCCTTTTATTTTGAAAGCTTATGATCATTTGAGTTTGATTGTGCTAGCCTTTAACCTCTGTCTTCTTTTTGTTGATGTGTTTGTCTTTATCAAAACTTTAACAAAGAACAAGAAGAATTTTTCTTCACATTGGTAGCCCGACTTAAGTCTAAAATCAAGATTTTTCCATTGAAAACTTGCGCTTTAAATGTGTCACTTGCTTTAGATATTTTTTCGTATGTTCTATCGTAATAACCTTTAGAAACTGAAATACTTGAGAGTTTTTCTAAAGCAATTTGGATCGCTGATAATGCCTAACACATTCTTTTGGTAAGACATTGTGCGATCTTTGTGGAGTTAGCTTGACAATTTCTTAAGGGTGTTACTCTTGTTCCTTTCATCATCAATATTTCTATAACATACTATTTTTTTAATTTTATGAAAGTGGTGCCTATAATGAGTCACAAATTGAAGCGGTGCCTATAATTGCTTCTACTTTTCTCCTGAAGGTAGCCTCAAAGGTGATTTTCTTGACACGGGTCCTTGTTCTACAAGGGAACTATAATTAACAAGAGATTGAAAATTACAGGTTGCAAGTTGCAGCGATGGACCTGAGCTTTTGGTACGGTGAGAACGAGATTGACTTACAAGATTATCATTTCAACAATTAAGCCAATATGAAAATAAAATGGATAAATGAAGTTTGAATTTGAATTCTACCTAAAAATGGAGTGCTTCATTTTTTTATAGTATGGTAGTTATAACGATTTGCTGATCTTCAGACATGGGGTGCGAATTAGTACATTTCTTCGAATTAGTACATTTCTTCGAATTGCATTATATATATTTCCCATGTGATTATATGTTGAATAGATCCAACTATCAAAGTGGAAAACCAACTAAGCATTTGAAAATTCAGATGTTGTCAAAGCAAATTTACCAACATAACATTAGAGTGAAGAAACTTGATTTGGCAAAGCGAATTTACACTTGCTCAACTTCAATTTAAAGGCCAATATTATTGTTCATTTTAGAGAGATTGTGATTTTCGAGAACCAAGCAGTAGAGAAGAGATAAGAGAATGATGAAAAGAGGGTGGACAAGGGTCGAGAAGCTTGAGGAATCATCTTCAATCAACATTCAATCTGTTCTCTTTCTTAATGTATTGGAAGGTTAGAGCACAAACAAACTCTGTGTTAAAGTGGTGTCAAAATAAAATAGAAAGACTTAAGAGCACAAACAAAGTGTGTTATTCCCAAATAATTTCCTTATTTTCATTAAATTTTGAGTACAATGCATTACAAAAGGGTAGCCAGCTATGAAAATCAATCTATCCACCCAATTTTTCTATATAAATTTTTTATCAATTATAAGAATCCAATAAGTCCCCCCAATTGATGAATTATAATAATAAAAAATAAAAAATAATGACACTAAATAAGGTTGTAGAGTATCTCATTCCAAGTATCTGGAACACCAGAGAGACACCAATGACTACAATCCATTCCTTTTAAACCAAAAAGTCCATAAATGGAAGGATGACCATCTTTTCTCAGCAGTGAAAGGGTTGTGATGTCCAGCAATGTCACCGGTTTCTTAATTCTGCTTAGTACACTCTTCAACACACCCACAGCCGGCGGCAATCCCCCCGGATATGTCGATCCGGCCACCGGTGTCTTCTCTCGGATACAGCTCTTTGCACTTGGCTCATTCCATAAGGTGCCACTGCAATCAAAGTTCATGCCAATTGTAACCTATATTAGTTTATGTTAGATAACTTGAATTACAAGTTATTAGTGGAATGGAAGGATTTATAATTTGCTTACTTGTAATGAGAAGGAGAAATTCCTTGGAAGAAAACCTTTACTTTTGTAGGGTCGATGTTGGCATCTACCCATGCTGCCCATGTAACGAGTGCCCTTTCAAAAGCCTTCATTCTATCCATATCTTTCATAACTTGACCTCCCACTTCAATATAATCCCATCTGAATTTTGGTTTTCAAATTTATTTTATCAAACATGATTGAGAAAATAAATGGCATGATAGTTGAAAAGTAAAAAGAATAAGCTTACGGTTGAGTGGGTCCTCTACGGTACCACCAATGCCATGTGTTAAAGATAAGCATGTCAACCCCATTCCATAGCTTGCTTCCTTCAATGGAGTCTAGCTTCAACACTCTGCCTATATCCTCTCGGACAACATCTACTAAATACACGTTCCTATCTAGCATCACTTTCACTTCATACTCCTGCAAATTATTAAATCATTTTTCCCTAAGATAATCATCAATTCAATAATGCAAATAAAAGTTTATCATTATATCATTATATCATTCTATGACTATGTTTAATAAAATAATAAATAGATGATTAAGTATAAAATGAGATAAGCTAATATTCTTTAATTAATAACTTAATAAATATATAAACTTTATTTTCTATATTATTTTTATTAAATTAATTAAATGTAAAATAAATATTTTTATTTAAAATTAAATATAACAATATCCACATGTAAACAATTTCAAATAAATATAATAGCAAAATATTTTCAAGATAGGTATGTAAATTTTATTGCCGGATGATGGATAATAAAATTATAGATATGTTTGGCAAAATATTTTTTGAACCTATAGCTTATACTCATGTGACAATAAAAGATTTGTTTGGTAACTGTCTTTTTATCACGAGTTTATAGTTTATTTTAAATAGCGTTTTAGCTTATAGCTTATCATTTTTTCTTCTAATTTTACTCTTATTATTTTAACTAAAATCCATCACTATCTTTTACAATTTATTATTATTTAAAATAAAATAAAAATTATTAAATACCCTTTATATCATTTTATTTTATCAGCTAATTAAACCGCTAATTTTAAAATAAAATAATAATAATTAAATATTCTTTATGTCATTTTATTTTATCAACTAATTAAACCGTTAATTTTATCAAACACTTCAATTACCTTATAGCTATAATTACCACAAACTATAAATTATAAACTATCAGTTATAAATTATAAGCTAATTTATTAACCAACCTTATTTTTTTATCAAACAAAGTCTACGAGTGAGGAGTATTAGAGAGCGATGATGTATCAACAGATAAAATGAACGAAAGAAGGTGAAAAAGAAAACATAAAAAAAAATAATGAAAAAGAATTACAGTAATAAAGTTCATAGTTTTTTTAAATATAAAATTTGACTTTTTTTCAATTCATTTATTTAAAATATATTTATTTTATTTTAAATTATAAAAAAATAAAAATGAATTTTTGTTAAAATAATAATAAAAAATGATAGAAAAAATAATAAATTAAAAAGCTATAAACTCAAACTATTCCAAATAGTTTTTAAGAAAAAATTATATGTTAGTAAAAAGAATTATAAACTACAAAAACTGAAGATTTATTGACAGCAGCTACAATTGGCTATTTAGGTCATATACATCCAATCACATTAAACTCATAATAGAGTAATGGGCTAAGTTGACGTGAATATTAGGTGGAACAAAAAAGTAGAAGTCTAAGTAAAGTGCAAGTACCTCAAATTAAAGCTTTTTAAAGTTATTGTAGAATCTCAATTAAAGCCAAATACCTTAATTAAACAAGGTAAAATGAAAGACTATAGAATGTTAATTTAGGCATGACCGAAAATATAAGTAACCATGATATGTGTGACCTAATTAAACATTAAAAGCTTTCTGATTTTGAAAGGGAATAGAAGTTGGATCTTGCATTAAAAACATGTAGCCATTTGCCTTAGTTACTTGTTAATATTGGCAACAAGGAATGGACCACTTGTATATGACTTAACACCAACCACACAATCTAACTATTACCAAATACTAGAAATTAGAGATACTCAAGTGAATTCGAATTTTTGAAAGGATCCGAAAGTTTTAAATCTGCATTCTCTAAAATCTAAAATGTTTAGGCCATCCATATCTATTTTTTTGTAAATTTTTACGAAAAAAAATTAGCAAGAAATAAAAATTTGTTACCGTAAATGTAAATATAGAAACATCTCCAACTCTGGCGACAGTGTAATTGGAATTAGGCAGTGCAGAATGAAGCAAACAAGTCATAGATTGCCATTGGTTTCTGCTTAATGAATCTCCCACAAACATGATGCTCTTCCCCCTCATTCTCTCCAGAAAATCTTCTCCGTTGAATCTGCCATTAAACATAATCAAATTATTACTAGTTATACTAATTTGTTGCTAATTTCATTAGCCACATTCAGTTCAAGTTGTTTTGAGTAACTACTTTTCCCCGAAAATACAAAATGACGAGGACACATTGGGAATAAGATAAGATTTGAGAGGACAAAAAGGGTAAAACACAGACAAGAGTTTCAGAGTTTTGGTCTACAGCGGGCCCACGAGTGAGTGAACCGACACCATTTTTTTCCCATACAAAATGAAAGAACATGAGAATTGAGAATCTATCTCTAGTTAGTTACTCTGTCATGTTTGGTGTCTTAATTATAATAATAATTTAACTCATATTAATAACTTTTTTATTAAAATAGATACTCACTCACACATATTAAAAAAAATAATGTGAGTAGGAGTCACAAAGACATGTTAAAAATTCAACCCAAGCCAAAACATTCCAACCTTTCATTAATTCCTCATAGTTCCGAGCCAAACATTCGAACCTCTGTTGATGTGTTTTTTTTTTCTTATACTATAATAATCCAGTTGTTTTACAGCCTGTAATGATTGGATCATACCTAAAGGTCACATGATTTACTACACTTTTCTAATAATCATAAATTTTTTTAAAAAAAGCGTTTAAACTTGTTCAATTTACCATATAAAAATTGAAATGGCAACTTTTTTATGTATAAAATCATTTTAAAATATTATTACTTGTCCAAATAAAAATTATTCATCGCATGTAATTTTATTTTTATTTTTATTATTATTTAATTAATAATAATTAATGATAATTAAAATATATTATTATCAGTTAATATTTAATATATTATTTTTCTTATCTTTTATTAATAATAATTAAAATACACCAATATTCAAAAAATGTAATTTAGTAAAATCCATATTCTCATTTTCATTTATTATATTTTTTTAATTTACCTAAAAAAATGTTAAGAATGGCCTTTATTTTATTTTTAAATATACATAAAAATAATATAGCATTAAAACTCAAAATGAATGATGTGTTTGGAGGTTATATATAGTTATTGAATATTGATGACAACAACCAACAATAATTGGTACTACTAGTATCTCAACTAAAAATGCATAACTGTAGAAACAAATGTATAATAAAAATAAAATAAATAAATCTGTTTTTGCATAAAAATAAAGTGAAAATAAAATAAAATAAAAATAAAGTGAAAATGACCATAGAAAAAAAAGCAACCAATGAAAAGAAAGAGAGAGTAATAATGATAACCTGAGTAAATTGCAGGACAGTGGTTTCCATCTGTAATGGGTGTAAATCAGATCAGGCCGTCCATTTGCTTCACACCTGAACTCGCGCTCTATAAACGGACACGTGGCTGGTTTATACAGCGGATACGATTCATCCACCACCCATGTTCCGGTGAACAGGTCACACTGTTCCGGTGAACCATATTCACCTCTTGCTTTCACTCTCATCATCACCACCGTAACAGTGAGAACAAACAAGAGAATAATACGGTGTCGTTTGGTACCCATTTTAGAATCTCTGTTCAACAAAGAAGTTATAAGGAGGGAAAAGAGAATAAGAGATTTGTTTGCTATGGTCACAGCAGCATTTATATAAGAGTGCTGCTGCATGTGTATACATGGGTCACTCTTTAGAGAGAGAAAGACTTATTTTGTTTTTTACAAAAATAATTAAATATCACTGATTTTAATAGTAAGACAAAAGTTTTGTATTTTGATATCGAAATTAATTTACATCTGATAATTAGTGTGTTTTGTTAATAATGGGAAAGATGAGATTTAAATTATGAAATGATGACTACCGTGAAAGATTGTTAGCATGATTGAGTGGTGTGTGGTTGTTGCAAGATGGATTAGGCATTTCATTTGACACTAACATGAAAAATATGAAAAGAGAAAACTTATATATCAAATTAATTCCAATGTTATGCTAACTTGTGTTTTAACGCGCTTGTTAAACAATTTAAAATATAAATTATGTGTCAATATAATAATTTTATATTCTCAATAAATTAAAAAATAATTTTTATATTATTTTGTTATCATGTTGCCAATTTAAAAAAATAAAACCTTAATTTATTGTTGAGTTGCTATCTCTACGATAATTTGAATTCACTTGACATCAACAAATTTCGGCACATTTGCTCTAGATGTCGTAGAATCATAGGAGAAAACTCTAGTAGTGAGATGAAGCTGCCTATAAGTTGCCTATAAGTTAGAGGTGACAATTAAATTCATTAAGGCAAAATTCATCTAATTCATCCATCTAAAAATCTATCTACTTCATCTACCACATAAAAAATAAATTAATAGATTGGATTAAATACATCTATTTATATGCATGAATGAATTCAATTTATCCAACATATTGGAAGGATCCAATGGATTATTTTTATTTTCGTTAGATTTATTTTTTTAAAAATAATTAAAAATAGATTTTTTTTTTAAAAAAATTATTTTTTTCCAATAAAAAAATCTGGAATTTTTCCAAAAAAAAATCGAATATTTTTTTGAAAATAAAATCGATTTTTTTTTCAAAATAAAAATTTGATTTTTTTCCGATAAAAAAACCGATTTTTTTTCTGAAAATATAAGAAATTAAAATATAAAAAACCGATAAAATTAAAATATCAATTTTCTGAATAAGAAATTCAAATTTTCCCAAAAAAAATGATATTTTTCAAAAATTAAAATATCAATTTTTTTCTTAAAAATACAAAAATAAATGATTTTTTTTTAAAATACAAAAAAAATAATTAAAAAAAAATCAATTTTTTCATTAATATATTAAAAAACATTTTTTTATAAATACAAAAAAATGAATTTTTCGAAAATAAAAAAAATACGTTTATTTTTTTGAAATAAAAAAAAAGTTGGATGGATGGATATCCATCCATTAAAAATATGTTAATGGATGGATTTTATTTTTAACAGATGGATTGGATTGTATAATTTTAAGAAAATTTTAGTGGATTGTTAATGGAATAATACATTGTTTTGATTCATCCATTAACAATCCAATTCATATCCATTTAATCCATCTATTTTGTCACCCTTACTATAAGTCATATAAAACTCAACTCATTACGATCTATAGACAAGGTATTAGTAAGATATATTGTGACTTTGCTTGTATGCAACGAGTAAGGTCACAAATTTTGTACTCTTTGCAAATGTATTGTTTGCGGTAGAATTTCTCTAAAATTTACCTAGACCACAGTTTTAATTAAAATTTCTATTAGTCCAACCATCATCCAACATTGGTAAATATTAATATTATTATTCTCTCTGTCTCAAAATAAATAACTTATTTGAGTCATGCATAATTCATATAAAAATGCTAAAATATATTAATTTTAATAATATAATTAATAGTATTATTTATTAAAAAAATTATTAATTATAATTAGTAGATTAGTTGAATTGAGTGGAAGTTAATAAATAAGAGTATAATAGTAAAAAAAAAATATTATATTAGTATTGTAAAGTGACAATAATTTTGAGGTAAAGAAAAAGTATAAATAAGACACTTTTTATGAGATGAAGAGAGTACTAACAATAAAATCTAATATGCAATAGCGAAGACGCAAGCTGATAACCCATCTTTTGTGAATGTGAGTTATCATTGATCCTAAGTATTTTATTTTCTTAGTTTATTTAGTTTTTTTATTAGATTGTTTTAGATCATTTTAATTGTTTTGTAGTATTTAGCATGGAGCACAACAAGTGCTCCTTTTTGTTGGTTGAATGTTTTTAATGCTTGAATTATGGTTGTCTCTGATGAGCCAAGGCAAGAGTGTCAGACAGAACCTGGGAGTGTTAGCGGAAGCAAGAAGATGAGTTGTAACCAAGAGTTTAAATGAGAAAGTATATGTGTCCTAGGGAAAGCATGATAGGAGCAGAGTAATAGAGGGAAAATGTGCTCGTACTGAAGAAATTCCAATTGAATTTCTAGATAAGATCAAAGAGGCACTAAAAGACAAAAGTAATATAATTGTACAACCACCATTATGGGCAATCTTTCAAATAGGATAACACTGCATGCACCCTTTTGTGGCAGTCTGCACCAAGCGTTTTGTCTCCCACAAATGTTTCCTTGTACATGATTCCTTGGAGGCTAATCAGAAAGAATATTGAGGACAATACTGATTTGATTATTGGGCTTGATGTAATTTCCTTAGCATTGAACCATGATCCAAGGTTCCTCAAGAAACCCTAGATGATTGTTATAAATAGACCCTGCTGAAGATTAGAAAAAGGAGTTCATCATTCCAAAAATACTAGACATAGCATAATAGTGTGAGGTTAATGGAGAGAAAAAAAGTTCTTCTTCTCACAACATCTAGTTCCAGCTGCCGAGTCTTGGTGCAATTGAAGTCATTTCTAGATGAGTATCTCTCTCAAGGAGTCTTCAAGTTACTCTTAGGTTTATATTTTTTTTCAATATTTGTTTAAGAATGTATCTTTTGAGAACCATGTTTGTAGTTTGTACTCAGCTCATTATGAGTTAAATCTTTTGTATATTAAGCAATGGAAATGAAATTCTGGTATGTAGATCTCATATGTCCTAAGAGATGTTAGGACACTTGATCTCTACTTTAAACACACTAACAAGAAGGAGCACAATAAAAATTGCAGAAAGTAAACGAACACACAGTAATTGTTAACCCAGTCCAGTGTACAACAACACCTACGTCTGGGGGCTACCAAGTCAGGAATGAAATCCACTAGATAATATTAATTCTAAGCTAAACAAACTCCGATTTACAACTTATCACTTAATCACTACCCGTGCTTAATTGATACCTAAGACTCTCCTAGGTATGAGACTCTTCTCAATTCCCTTTCAATCACAATAGTGACAGAAATTACAACTCAATGCAAACAGTCCAACTTTAGTATTAACACGATACAAGAAAGGCTCACAAATACACAAACCCTAAAACTTACTAAGCAACAATGCATTTTCCACACTTTGATTAGGTTAAATCCATCATATATATAACAATAAACTAGACTGGATTTGTACTTCAAAAACGCAGCAATTCTATTACACAGAATCTGCAACTTATTCACCTCAATAATAGTTTCTTCAATCTAAAGTTTCCTAAAATGTCTCCACACTTAGAAAACAATATCTTCAAACTCAAACAAAATTTCTAATTCCTCAAGCTTGAACACCACCTAGGATAAACAAATATTCCCATAATATTCTGAAATTTGGAAATAAATTAGCAGTATAAAAATTGCAAAGTAACAGACAAAGATGCCAAATCATCATGCTTCTGCCAAGTTAGTTTTCATGTGTCCCCAATGTTACCCTCCATCATATGCTCTTGTTCACTTCTCCTTGCAAATGAGTCAGAAGTTTGACTCATTCCATACTAATGTGATTGTGTTGATTGAGTCTGATATGTTTCACCATGTTCAAGTAGACGAACATATATCTTAATTATGGGTAATTGAGCAAACATATTATGACACTGAAACATTGATTTCACGTCTTCGTCGTTTCCAATTGGATTTATTATGTAAAATACAGTAGCATCTCCTCCATTAATTAATGGATGGCGATAAATACTTTCCTTGACAAATCGTTGTAACTTTTTTTCAATCTGATCTTTGAAATGAAGGAAATCAGAATTCACATGAATTTTGAATGAGTAGGTATCTGTATTGCTAAATGAGAATACAACATTAATATTTGTGAAAACAGTACCATTATAGTGTCTGGTTACTACTAAATTTCTCTGAGCCATTTAGATGTAAAAATGTATGAAATAATGCTGGAATGTGGAAAATACAAATGAAGAAACAAAAATTATATATATATATATATATATATATATATATATATATATATATATATATATATATATATATATATATATATATATATATATATATATAAATTTGTATGTACAAAAATCCAGAAGCCAATGAAATAATGTTGTATAATCAGCCATTTGAAGGCCGAATATGTGGATGCTCAACCAACAAAATGACGAGCAAGAATCGCCACGTGTACGCTCAGACAACGAAAGGACGAGCAAGAACATCACGACCAACGAGATCAGAGCCTGCATGCATGCAACAATACTAGATGTGCAATTTTTAAGCTTGCATGCATGAAACACTAGTTGTGCCATTTATCATCCTGTGCATTGATAACTCACTTCTTCCATTGTTAAGTCACCTAAACATTATTTACCACACACACTGCAAACTCTATAAATTCAATAACTACAAATTTTTTATCACATTTACTCATCAACCATATTCATCATTAAGAAATCAACATATACTTCACAATCTCATAAAATGTCTTTGTTTTGGATGGGGGAATTGCAACGTGAAACACCTACAAACGTCCAAGCATATGCAAGGTTCTTATATTTTCAACATAATTGTTTATTTAATCATTGTATTCATTATTATTTCTATTTTTTTCTAAGTGGAAGATAGGTTCTGAATACATTCGCATACTCATATTCAACCATGTCCGGAAA